GAATACGGCAATGAATCAAGAAGTCACAGATTGTACAGAGAGATACCTTTCCTTGGGACAGCTTCCTATGCGTTTATCGTTTATCTCGGCTTAACTGTAAAAGTTTCAGTATGGTCATTTTTCTTGCTGTGGCGCTAATGGCAAAATCAGATCCCGATGTTACCGTTAACATTGTAACTTTCCCTCTACATCTATGCACTCCATAGAACGGCATTGCCTTCGATTTACTAACAAAACCATTGAGAAGATTTTAACTGAATTATAAATTATCTGAAATTCGATTTCGCGATTACCATATTTTTCACTGCTGGCTGTGTAGGAACCAAAAATGAATAAAAAATTATCACTATTTCAGCAGCTCCTGGTACTTTAAGAAGTGTTTATTTAGTGCAGTTATTCACAAAACACGAAACGTGCCGTTTGTTTCTCGACAAATATTTATAAACGACGCTATCAAGAAACACAATGAAGTTCAAATATGTTCTAGATAAGGCCTTTATCGCCTTTGTATTAATACACTAGCTCACACGTAGTTATTATTTGCTGTGTTTGCACCTAAAGTCCTACTTCAACTATACCTACTGGTAGACAGTTGCTTTGCAACATGCAAAATTTTACCCAAATTCAAATCTCGATATTTTCGTAACGAAACAAATTGAAGAAAAATCGTACATATAGATAATTGGGGAGAGTTGGGGTTGTAAAGAACAAGGTGTTCTTAGCGTTGCCCCTTTGGCATCATTGAAGATGTTTTATTATCTGCTAGACATATCACGCATATTTCGCATAATATTTACGTCTGCGGCTCTAGCCACACCAGCTAGGAGCAGCACGTTACAGCCTTTACCTGCGAAGGGTCTGATCCGAATTCAGCAACGCTTACGCTGCCCCAACGTGTGAAACTTAACTCTGTTACCATGGTGTATGTTTGATGTGTATAATTTCATGTTTTTTGATCAGCAACGCTGTGTTAGACTGATATTCGTTGTAGAGTTATTCTACTTGACCACATTTTTTTCGTATTCAAAGAAAAACTTCCAAAAGTGATCTTACCAAGAAACTGATGTAGCAATTGTACATTATACATTGTAAGATCATCTATAATTTTGGTGCTTACGGGGAGAAAAAGTTATGGCAGCCTCGCCCTGTTTTGAACTTGACCTTGAGTCTATTTTGGAAGCGACATATACACCACGGTTCAGATTAGGCCACTTAAGCTATTATAACCGTTCCTTTCATGATAGAGATTTATAAGTTTTGTAATAGGGGTTAATAAAAGTGCATGCCTCCACTTTAACATCATGAAGAAAACGAGGCCGCTTTTTCACCGATTCTTAGACCACACGCAAAATTAAGAATTATTAATGCCTTTCTACATTTTGGAAACACTGTAAGAATACGATGACTTTGGTGAAACAGGTATTTATAGAAACTAATGTCAGTTTTCATCTGCAGATGTTGTTAACAAACGAATCTTTGTACATTTAGTCCAGTGACTCTTATTTCAAGCATGACAATTAAAAAGCGAAAAAAAGAGTCATTATTCAGGTCAGAGGTGTTTTTGAAATCATGACTTCATAAAATTTTCTATTACAAATAATTAATTAGTAAAAATATCAGCAAAATATATCTTTTTGTGCAAGGAATAGCAATCTAATGATACTAGTTGTTATTTGTCATCATCCCTAACAATTGTTTGTCTTGAAATTGAAAGCATCTGAACTATAATAATTTTCGTTTCGTCCAGAAATAATTCCTAGCGGTTACCTCATCTGAGGATTGAGAGTGGGCAAGCAAATTATGAAATTATTATAACTGTTGCTACGACAACTACATCGGTTTGATGGAACGCGAACACATCAAATCATTAAAAGCGGGAATTGAAAGTCGTAAAGTTAAATAGATGATGCCTTTGACACTTTTGTGTTAACAACAAATGTTATCCATCTACAAATGAAGAAATTAAATAGGTTTTGGGCAATTTGGAGTTTTATGATAAAATGAATGAAGGCTGTGAGTTCCTGGAGCTTCTATAAATCGAAAAGTACCACTTTGATACAACGATAAAAGAGTTTTGTCCTGTTGTGTAATTATCGAATCGCGTGTTGGTACGTTTTCGAAATTCTGATAATTTCTCGATTCAGTTTCTGGAAAATTCTCCTTTAAAAAGCTTGCTGCTTTTACTTCCCACGAATACTGGCTAGAAAATATTATACTCGTCATAAATGTTAATAATGAGATACTAAGTTAGTAAGTTTTCTTAATGCTGTTTTTTTCCATTTGACTCTAGCATTTCAAAAAATAGATATAATTTCGATCAGGGAACGATAGCCCGTGGTATGTTGGTAGTATCACAACAGAGAGTCTGAACTTTATCTGCAAGATTCCAGTCAATACCAGCATCCCAAACTAGGTCGCTGCCTCAACAGTTTTCCAATTTGGGCAAAGCAATGAGTTGCTCTTCATTTTCATACGTTATAACAATCGGTAGACGTTCTTTAGACTTACGTGCATTTAAAGATGGCAACAATTTTTTTTTACACAGGACATTTACAATGTCCAGTATCTCGCTTTGAACATCAAGTTTTATAAATTCTCCTTTCGCTTTTCCGTACGAATTGTTTGAATGGAGGACTTGCTGATAGGAAACTCGTCAGTGTTATGTCCAACTGACTCAATGGTTGTTTCAATAATAAAATCAGCATTTCTCATACTTAACTGACACCTATCTAATGGTGCCACTAATTTTGGAATTATTCAACTTTTTTCTTCGTTTTTGTTTAATTAGTATCAGGCTGTGTGCTCTGCGTTGGTACGGGTAGCGTTTCTATCTCGGAATGTGAAGATGAATTTCCTTGCACTGATTGGGAAGATGATGTCGAAGAAGTTAAGGAGGCAATATACAAGGTGGCACATAGAAAACGAAACAGACGCATTCGCTGGCAGCTCAGTTTTTCTTTGAAAAACGCTCAAAAAAATCACGTTAACACATGCAGCTCTCTGGGCGGGGGTGACACCACCCCCAAAATCTTAAATGGAAAGGGGGTCGAATGATACCTTATTTTAAAGGTCTTTCAATTCCCTTTATAATGATATAAAATTAATGTACATTAGTTCAGTAGTTTTGAAGCTTTATTGATTTAAAGCTTAAATAAAACGATATTTTACTGGACGCTCACATGAACCAACTTCTTCTGGACATGCATTAAGGCACGTGGTTAGATGGTAAAAGGGGAACTTACCGCTGAAGAGGTTAAAATCCTATAAAAATGCAAACAACATCCAAAACAGACTATTAATCCCAAAATTTGGAAATGAAATGAAGGGCCGATACACCTCCTCAACTAAAGCTTCAACGGAAAATGTCCAACACCAATTTTTCCGATCTCCCGTCAGTCAGTCAGTTCACTGTCAATGAACGTTAAAACTAGGAAGGCGCACCAAAATGAGACTACGACTCCACAGGGTCGATATCGTTACAACCAAAATTTACGGTGCAAAAAATCCCTAAAACGCTCACAAGTCAAATTTTTGGATACCAGAATCGAGAGAGGAATTTTCAAGTTATTGTATTGAAACCGAAAAAAATTTGACAATTTATTATTTGCCTTGATTACCTGTATTCGCAAAACATTGACTTCTAACTCTGCGATGAAACGTGCTCTGACACGTAAACCCAAACATGAATTCCAAATCAAAATATCTTAATTTTTGTTTTTACTCGTATTTATTATTCTATAAAGATCCATTCCACAACTTTGTAGTTATATAGATACATATATAGATAGTCAACAACTATCTTACTGTGATTTATAAAATATAAAATATTTCTAAGATAAATGCGTTTCTACAATAATGGTTATTAAATAGAGCCTGTATCAGTTCCACTTGGAATGGAACTCGAGTTTCAGTTTAGCTAAGGTTGACCTCATCTTTTAATCTTGCTTCTTCCAATACAATATAAAGAATAATTGAATAATGTTACGAACTAATATGTTGAGAATTAGAATCCAATAAAATCTGATCGCCTTATTATAATTTGAAATGTTACAACATCCTTCTAAAATGTTTACTATATGGAAAGATTATCCGTCTGAAATTCTGCTCGCATGTAGGCATTGAATTCCTAGCTGATAAAGCGTTTGTTTTTCTCAGAACTTCGTATTTCCGTTGTAGAGAAACGACGAATGACGAGGTTCAAATGGCACTAATGAAATGATATTATATTGTTACGCTAAAATATATGCGCGACACAAATAACTTGCTTCTTTGATAAGAAAACAATTTTTAACTATGTCAGAAACGTTCATATTTCTCACTCGTGAGCGAACGAAGAATTGTGATTGTGAAACATTGGAAAATATTTAAATAGATCAAAGGTATTTAAGTGTATCGCTTTGGTATTTTTTGGGATCAACATATTTCTAAAACATTAAATTTTCGGATAGCCTACAAAGAAAACTGCGCTCAAAAATAACAAGAAGCATATAAAATATTCCCTACAAGTATTTTTTTATTTACACTCAAAAATACGTAAAAATGATTTTGCCGAAAGGCGTCTAACCATCAATGCTCCGATTAGAGGTTGCAAGAAAGCTGTGAACATAGATACAAGTACATGCAGTACCATTGACTTTAATCGTTTGAAAGATTAGGTGATTTGTTCGTAATCAAAATACATAAATTCACATAGTGGTTTTAGAACCGATCCTTGTGGTGCTCCTAGGGGAAAGCTTACCAAATACAACGTAGCATAGAAAGGTTAGTCGTACTTTCTTTATTTTACACAACCGACAAGTTTGATAACCCTCTTGTTTTGACGATCATCGTTCAATAAAAAACATCCTCGAAGAGCCAGAAAGTAGATCACATCGAAAACAAAACTCCCAGAGCCCATCGAGATACTGGCATTTATAGTACCTTACAAAGTGCCGGCCGGTACAATCACATTCTCACCGACACTGTGACATTTCATGCGACGAAAGCAAAGTTGTACTTACCTTTTCGTTTCTATCTGCGACCGCCGGTTCGACAACGAGTATCACTAGCAGGCCCAGAGCCCGACACAGCCCTGGCCGTAGCAACATGACCGACTGACTCCATCTTTCTTCTTACCAGCGCGAAAGCTCAAAGCTCCCCACCATCTCTTCTTTCGGCCGATCTCAGCATCGGTCGCGATCACTTCTACGCCCAATTTCAACCCTTTACATTGCAAATATGTCATTCAAACTTACAAACAACACAAATAAAGGACCACTAAAGCTCTTAAGAAGTTTCAATCAAATCGATCCAGGGGTTGGGGAGATATAAGTTTCCGAAGTTTGTAAATCATGGGTGCGCGGAAAGAGGTTTCACTTTGGGGGCTCGTTTCAACCACTTTAAGTCGGTGTATTGTGTTTAAACTTGAGAGAGGCTTTGATGAAACCTTTCTGAAGCTTCTTACAAAGTTTTATAAAAATACATCTATTACTTCTGAATTAATAGAGCCCTGAAGACCGTGATGTAATCCACACCGGAAAGGCGCTGAACGATGGATGCGCAAAGCGCGATGTCACTGTGAGGGCTTGTTTCACCCTCTTACCTAAGTCGTATCTTATTCAAATTTTGAAGGTATATAGCTGGAAGCTTCCTAAATACTTGTAGAAAGTTTCGTGGAAATCCATCAGCCGGCTTAGACGTTATTCGACGTAGAGTATATCGTTGTCAAGTTCGCGCAGAGGAAGACGTCGTATGGACCTGGTGAGTCCATCGGTCCCGGGATGGTCGCGTTTTCTTGTTGTCTCAGTGCTGGTGCAGCCGCGAACCGCGTGCGAAGCTGCCTTCGGATACGGCGTTAGAGCCACGGGGTTGTCGGCGAGAGTGCGGAGGACGTGCTACCCCTTATAGGGGGTGCCCAATTCTCAGGAGATATGAAAGGACATGGCATAGGGTGAGTTCAACTTTTCTTCAAAGATCAATCTGGTCAGATATAGAGTTTTTTCGTTTCTTAAACACCTCAGAAAACTCTTCCGATAAAATGAGAGCTTAGACTTACTGAGAAGGGGTATTTTATAATTATAGACGAAAGAACATTACAAAGAATGAGTTCGGCAGCATTTTTCAATCTACGTTCTGCTTACACTCCATGTAAGCTTTTAAAAGCCGATTGAAGGAAAGCTTAGACTTCATCTTTATAGATAGGAGAACATTGTCGATGATAAGTTCGGCATTCATTTTTTAATCTACGAAAGCTGGAAATGTTTAAACGAGTATTTGCAGTTTCATTAAGGCTTGAAAGCATAGTCATAAAAAATACATATTTGAAATCAGTTAGACCTATAACTAATAGAACTTCTGAAAAAATAAACAATGTGCTAATAAATGCCCGAAGTTAACAAAGCAACAATTGAAAGATTACCATTGGGTAACATCACCTATATTTTTTATTACGGCTGAATTTCTTTGGGGCATAGTGTTAACCAAGTTTTGGCAAAAATTTGGTGTAAAACAATCCCATATTTCTTGAAGCTTTTGTCTCAGTTCGGTGATTGTACGAGCAGGATGTTGTCGTAGAACCTTTTTCATCTCGTGCCACAAAGTTTCAATAGGTGACAGATCTGGACTGCTAGAAATCTATTTCAAAAGTGGTACATTATTTTCTTCCATCCATTTTATAGCCTTTTTTAAGGTATGGCACGCTGCATCATCTTGCTGAAACACAAAATCTTGGCCGGATGTCAAACATTCTTCCATCACAGGTAAAAGCGATTCTTCTAAAATTGTCAAATATTTGTTTGTATCCACATTTCCATCAATAAAATGAAGTTTTCCTACTCCTTTTGATGACATACTGCCCCAGAGTAGAATGGATACTGGAAATTTCACTTTTCTCTGCAGACAGTCAACATGGAATGCTTCATTTTTTTTACGAATAACTGTACTGCGACTGTCACCAATACAAACTTCGAATCGGGCCTCATCACTCCATTGTATTGCACACCATTGTTGAGGTGTCCATTGTCTATGTTCTTTAGCCCATCTAAGCCGATTTTTCTTTTGCAGTGGAGTTAATAGTGGCTTTTCTTTGGCCTATAAACAAGTTGTGCACTTTTAGGGTTTTTACTTCACTTTTTTTTATAAGAAAACTTACCTTGCAAGTGCTAAATCCCAGTTTGTGGGCCTCTCTATGAGTTGTGGACCTCGAAATTCTCCTTCCAACAGCGTCACTCCACAGAGCCCTTAACTGTAAATAATTGGCACGCCTGTTTTTCACGATTATTCTTCTTAATGCTCTTCGGGCGGCATTTGTGGTATCGTACCTTTTTTTCACATATCGTGGCTTAATATTAACTGAACCAGTTACGTTATATCTTCTAACAATATTTCTTACACTGTACCGCGATAGGTCTAACAAAGTTGCAATTTCCGAGTTTGATTTCCCAGAATTAAAGAATTTAATTATCAGTAACCGAATTTTCTCACTAATAACCTTTCCTCTATCCATTTTGAAAACCTGAACTACCCAAAACTATTTTAAACGTATTCTGACAGCTGTGATTAATAAAAACAATTGTCATGGCTTTTATTTTTCACAGCCACCTATGCGTTATAGACTTATTTTACATTGAAATGAAAATAAGTTGATATGTTGTAATTGCAACATGTGTTATTTTTATGCTGCAAATTTGATTAGGGAGTGATAAAGTTGGTGTTTTCTACTATATATTATCAAAATATTCATTGTTAATATTTTAAACCTATAAAACACCCTGCTACATTTTTATTATTTGTGTTTGATAAGAAAAAAACTAAGATTTTGATAGTTGGGCAAACTGAAGTGGGAAGGGGCTCGTACTACCATATAAACTACCGAGTTGCTTTCCAACATGGAAAATGTTACCCAAATTCAAATCTCGATATGTTCAGAACGGAACGAGATATCGAGTTGCGGAATTCGGAAGGTTCTTGACCAACTCTTTGAGAACATGTACAAGGTTCTATTAGCATGTTTCTTCTATTTATCTACTTATACAGTGTGAGCAAAGAAAATCAGTCTTTTTTTAGAAAAGTTTGGTGACTGTCAATCTTTGATCTTGGAGATTTTTCTATGTATCTTTTTTATCTTTGGACTATCCTAAAAAATTTTTTTCGAAAGTTGTTTATAACCCAAATTATCGAATTTTAAAAGAGCGTTACATTTATCCCTAAAAAAGGGACATATTGAGATTTCTCTTGAATATGAATATTTTTTCTTATACTATTGCATAAAGTGGAATTTATTGGGGCTGACAAAAGATTGAAGTACTCATTGAACGTTATTGTCTCCAGTGGCGTGCAGTAAAAATTTGCTACTATGACATTATGTAATTTAAATCGGATTTATAAATTTTACTATTAAATTAACCAGCAAACAAATCCAAGCTATTACTCTTAATATAGCGGTGTATTCCAGTGACGTAACATAAAAAGAATTTTTTGGTTTGGAAAGAAGTGAAAAATTTTTATTTTTCAAAATGTTGCGATGCTGGTCAACACTGCTATTTATCTTTTGTCTGGAATTTGTTATCTTTCTCGTTCAGCATGGAGATGTTTTCCAATAGGTAATAGACTCTATTAAATATAATAAAACCGTATAAATCTCTTTCTGTTCTGAAAATATCGAGATATGAATTTGATTAAAATTTTCCAAGTTGCATAGCAACTGTTCACCATTTTAGAGAGAAATGAAATGACATTGTCGATGGTGAATTCTGCGTTAATTTTTCAACATAGAAATGGAGATTTTCCATATGATTCAAGGAAAGCTTGGATTTACTTTGTCACAAATAAAAGTAAAAGGATACTATCTAGGGTGTGTTTGACATTTATTTTCCAATCTGTGAAAGCTCGATCTTAATAAACTTAGAGATTTTCTAGTTTATTCGGAGCTTGAAAACATTTCCAATTTAAAAAAAAAATAGATTTATTAATCTGATGGTTTCATCGTTAATCGTTACTATAAGGATAGTATTTTATAGATAGGAATAAAATGCAAAATCGGCATCCACTTTTCAATTTAGGGAAACTCAACCTGTTTGGAGATTGAGCTTCATTTGTTGAGAAGATTTAAAAACTGTCTAGGAAGGATGAGAACCTAGGAAGATAAACCAACAAGTCTCACAAGTAGTATTAATATGCCTAATTCTATTCTAAAAATATATTTATTCACATTCAAAGTTTTATTACTAATACATCTCACTAACATATACTAAGTGACATATAAATCCAAACACCCAGTTTAAATGGTTTTATTTTAATAAAATTTTGTATAAGTACTTAATGAAGCATAATAAGTAAATGATAAAAATTTCAAAATTATTGCACTGCTTTAAAGCCCTTTGACCTTTAATAATGTGTGGATGCACCCTGATGTGCTACGCATTCTCCAACGCGCCTAGGCATGCTTCTGATCAGGTGGTCAATGTTCTCCTGTGGTATCTCATTCCAGACAACCACCAACTCCTCTCGAAGTGCTCCTAGAGTCTGAGGAGGACGTTGCAAATTGAGCAATCTCCTACCCATCATATCCCACACGTGCTCAATTGGGGATAAGTCGGGAGATCTTGGTGGCCATGGTAACAATGTGACATCATTATGTTGAAAGAAGTCTATTGTGACTCTTGCAACATGTGGTCGGGCATTATCTTGTTGGAAAGTTGGATCTGCCAGGGTGTCAAGATAGGGTAAAAGATGGGGTTCTAGAACTTCGTGGATATAACGCTGCGCGTTCATGTTACCTCTGATGAAGATTAAAGGTGACCTGGAACCATAAGCTATAGCACCCCAAACCATAACTCCAACCGTGTGATGAACATGTCTTTCAACAAAAAACTGTGGATTCCTCCTTTCACCACGTCGCCTTCTAACCCTGGCACGACCATCGTGCATGCCTAAACAAAATCGAGACTCGTCACTAAAGACAATACTGTTCCATTCCTGATCCCATAGTGACCGTTGTCTGCACCACTCAAGGCGATTACGTCGGTGTTCTCGAGTTAAAAGGAGGACCCAGTGTGGCCGGTATGAAAACAAGCCAAAACTTCTCATTCGTCGGTAAACACTTCGCATGCCAATAGGTCTTCCGTCTTCTGCAAACCATTCATTTGCAGTGGACCTGGTAGTGGAGAAACGGTCCCTTAAGGCCAATAATCTTAGGCGGCGATCTTCACGGTCTGTTGTTCTACGGCGGCATCTAGTGGCCCTTGCTCTTTGCGTACGGCGTTCTCGAAGCCATGCCTGACAACACCTAACCACAGTGTCTACACTTCTTTGCACTCTAACTGCAATTGCCCGAAAAGAAAGTCCAGCTTCCCGAAGTCCCACTATACGGCCCCTATCAAACTCACTAAGTTGACGAAATGGTACAGGTCTCCGTACTCTAGGCATCGTAACCGATCGTAAAGGATGTCAAGAACCAAAATCCGCCAACGTTGATTCTTTACTGCGGCTGAAATATTCATTTTTAGAGCGTTAGTGAATTAAAAAAAAGCAGTATAAAAACCGGAATGTCCAACTGATAAGGCTGAAGATTTGTTCACTTGTTGTTTACAGTAAGATAAATACATTCACCAACTTTCATTAAAATAAAACCATTTAAACTGGGTGTTCGGATTTATATGTCACTTAGTATACAACTGCTGTATAAATATCTTTTTATCCCCAAGTTTTGATGAGTCTAAAATCATTCTCCAGCATTCATATTAAATTTCTTTTTTTCTAAACGCTACTGCTTATTAACTAATTCAGTTTGGCATCCTACCAAAATTTCACGGAAAACTAATCCGTCTCAACAGATGTATCGTACGGATGAGATGGGTGGAGCTGTTGACACGAATAAACAGAATATCTCGCGAGGTCGAAAATCTATCAAACATTTGAGTTAACCTTTATGAAATATAGACGAACTGGCCATAACCATATCAAATTTCATGAAACGAAAACAGAAAAGGCTGATTAAATTTTAAATAGAACATACGCACAAAGTATTTTAAACTAAAAGAGAATTTCCCAGTTACCATAGAGAAGTATTTTTCTGTAGCCTCAACCACCGAACGTCAATATATACTAAGTGACATATAAATCCGAACATCCAGTTTAAATGGTTTTATTTTAATAAAAGTTGGTGAATGTATTTATCTTACTGTAAATAACAAGTGAAAAAATTTTCAGCCTTATCAGTTGGACATTCCGGTTTTTATACTGCTTTTTTTTAATTCACTAACGCTCTAAAAATGAATATTTCAGCCGCAGTAAAGAATCAACGTTGGCAGATTTTGGTTCTTGACATCCTTTACGATCGGTTACGATGCCTAGAGTACGGAGACCTGTACGATTTCGTCAACTTAGTGAGTTTGATAGGGGCCGTATAGTGGGACTTCGGGAAGCTGGACTTTCTTTTCGGGCAATTGCAGTTAGAGTGCAAAGAAGTGTAGGCACTGTGGTTAGGTGTTGTCAGGCATGGCTTCGAGATGGCCTTACGCAAAGAGCAAGGGGCACTAGACGCCGCCGTAGAACAACAGACCGTGAAGATCGCCGCCTAAGATTATTGCCCTTAAGGGACCGTTTCTCCACTACCAGGTCCATTGCAAATGAATGGTTTGCAGAACACGGAAGACCTATTGGCATGCGAAGTGTTTACCGACGAATGAGAAGTTTTGGCTTGTTTTCATACCGGCCACTCTGGGTTCTCCCTTTAACTCGAGAACACCGACGTAATCGCCTTGAGTGGTGCAGACAACGGTCACTCTGGGATCAGGAATGGAACAGTATTGTCTTTAGTGACGAGTCTCGATTTTGTTTAGGCATGCACGATGGTCGTGCCAGGGTTAGAAGGCGACGTGGTGAAAGGAGGAATCTACAGTTTTTTGTTGAAAGACATGTTCATCACACTGTTGGAGTTATGGTTTGGGGTGCTATAGCTTATGGTTCCAGGTCACCTTTAATCTTCATCAGAGGTAACATGAACGCGCAACGGTATATCCACGAAGTTCTAGAACCCCATCTTTTACCCTATCTTGACACCCTGGCAGATCCAACTTTCCAACAAGATAATGCCCGACCACAAGAGTCACAATAGACTTCTTTCAACATAATGATGTCACATTGTTACCATGGCCACCAAGATCTCCCGACTTATCCCCAATTGAGCACGTGTGGGATATGACGGGTAGGAGATTGCTCAATTTGCAACGTCCTCCTCAGACTCTAGAAGCACTTCGAGAGGAGTTGGTGGTTGCCTGGAATGATACCACAGGAGGACATTGACCACCTGATCAGAAGCATGCCTAGGCGCGTTGGAGAATGCGTAGCACATCAGGGTACATCCACACATTATTAAAGGTCAAAGGGCTTTAAAGCAGTGCAATCATTTTGAAATTTTTATCATTTACTTATTATGCTTCATTAAGTACTTATACAAAATTTTATTAAAATAAAACGATTTAAACTGGGTGGTCGGATTTATATGTCACTTAGTATACAAGACGCCATTTTATTCATGACCATATATACTTAGCCTAGAATTGATACGAAAAACAGGTAAATAGCTGATGATCTATTGGGACTCCGCAGTAATCATCGGATTCTTGATAATTCTCTCGTTCCACCAGCTAACAAATCAGAACTCTACGACTCCCATTTTCCGATCTTGGATATCTCACATTTTATACCATTTTCCGGCATTTGGAATTGCTGGCAGTACTGAGACGCCATACCGTCTGAATTGCAAGGCAATAAATGAACGCATGCGATAACTCTGGATGGTTGGGATCGTCTGTAGTGTAGTTTATATGATACGGCATGGAGACGCAGATTACACGACATGATTTTAGTAGTCGTACAGAAACAGGAACACCCAGTAATAGTGAACTTATTACAATTCAGCGCTTCAATCGCATCTATAGAGTGATTTTTGTGATATGGTCTGTTCTTAAAAAAAGGTGATAGTTGTGCTTTATAGGTACAATTTAGTATTTGATCATCTCATCGTTCAAAGAACATTTTTCTATCGAAATATAAGGCAGGAGGTTTCATTATGTACTTTTTAGGTATTTATGATTTGTGGCGCATCGAAAACGAAGCAGACGCGTTTACTGGCAGCTCAGTTTTTTTTGGCAAAACGCTCAGACCCGTCGATTTTGTTTCCGAGGGGGAGACAAGTTTGGCAAAAAATCACGATAACACGTGCAGCCCCCTGGGCGGGGGTGACACCAACACTAAAATCTTAAATGGAAAGGGGGGTCGAGTGATACCTTATTTTAAAGGTCTTTCAATTCCCTTTATAATGATGTAAAGTATATGAGCTTCAGTTTAGTAGTTTTGAAGATTTATTGATTTAAAGCTTAAAGTAGAATTTAATAGGTACCAATATGAAGTATTTCATGTAATATTTTCTTTGTATACTAGGTGTCTCAGAAAGGTGCTATCTAATAAAGTTATGAAACATATTAGACCCGTCAACCACAAAAATACAATAAAATCAGAGGGGGGTAGTTTATCGCCGGACACACCCCGTACTTCACGAAAGAACCTATCATTTTATTGTCATTTTTGCAGTTTCTACTTATTAAAAAATCTCTTTATTTTCAGATTACTGGTATTGCTGTTCGGAACTTATAGCACAAATGGGGTAAGTTTAAGTTCGCTTCCAACCGTTCAGCAGTTTTCTCCATGGTTCGTGATTCAACACATTCTGATCCTGCTAGACGCTCCTGCCTCGCATCTGTACTAATGCAGCGATAAACAAGATATATTTTACTTCTGGAAAAGCCATTCCCGAACCTATGATAACATCAGTTCATCGGAAGTCAAGCACGTCGTCACAAACCGACAAACAAGTGGCTCTTGTCTATTTTCCTTACAAGATTTATGATTTCTAGTCGGACCAAGACAGAGACGAAACATTATTTCAGCTTTTACATCCACGCAGATGCAGATGATGCTTCCTTGCACAAACTGAGTCAACAATCATTTCCTGCCCATCCGATATCTAACGATGGTGAATCTTGAAAAACCATTTATTATATTGTCAGGGAAATTTCTCACAATCTGGTCGGCAACTTGCAAAAACGTACAAGACTATTAAAAATTTACGTAATTTGTCACCATGACGCATCACATTAGAATCATAATAGGTTCTTCTCATAGACATTTTGTAGCAATGTCACGGCAACTCACATACGGATCGTTGAGATTAAAAGGAGCGATAATTTTTGAACTGTTTATGCAGGGAATGTTGCCGAGGTATAGTAGAGACATATTATACCCAGGCGATATGTTAGCTGCAATAGTGGTAGCGAAATATTGCAAATAATATTTAAAGGCTCCATAACGCAATATTGCTGATATTCTTTACCCCTTGTATCATAAGGACCGAGAAACAATATACAGGGTGGCGCATCGAAAACGAAACAGACGCATTTACTGGCAGCTCATTTTTTTTTTTTTGGAAATCGCTCAGACCTGTCGATTTTGTTTTCGAGGGGGACACAAGTTTGGCAAAAAATCACGTTAGCACGTGCAGCCCCCTAAGCGGGGGTGACACCATCCCTAAAAGCTTTAATGGAAAGAGGGGCTCGAGTGATACCTTATTTTAAAGATCTTTCAATTCCCTTTATAGTGATGTAAAATACATGAACTTCAGTTCAGTAGTTTTGAAGATATATTGATTTAAAGCTTAAAGTAAACTTTAATAGGTACATCATATTAGTTTTTCAGAAGAAATTTGACTAAATAAAGAATCTACTTAATAAGTAAATGCTTTTCTTCACTACGCCCATGGTTTGTTTGAGATGCCAGTAAATGCGTCTGTTTCGTTTTCGATGCGCCACCCTGTATATTCTGGGCGCAAGTCACTGTTTTCTTTGAATCTCGGTATCATGAATGAGATACAAAATAACAAATACGACTACATCTGCATTTCTGTGAACCGAAGTTCTCCTTTTGTGTCTACGCTGTCGGCGGCAGGATGATAGGTTTCGAATTTCGGCCTACCCACACACACACACACACAGACGCACAGGCCGGACTGATCGCTACAAAGCGATGTCAATCATTCGGGTTACTGCGGCCATCGTATTGACCCGTGCTCAAGCCGCTTGACCAGATCAGATCGTTTGGTAACAGCGGGCGATGTCTGTGACAAAAAATTATAACAGTAAGGTTGCTATAAAGACTGAGGGTCCGGTTTGGCTCAGGGTCCCTCGAGTACAAATAAGCTTTGGGATGTTGTAGCGAAACTTGGGATCCTCTCGTTGACAACAATCAAATTGTCGTCGCATCCCAAATCTATACATCTAGTTTATCCAATCAAATGTTGTAAGAAGATGGGCGCCCGCAGAAATTTGTCTCACAGAGGGTGGCATCGTCACCAGGAGATGAAAGCGTACGTTCCCTAAAACTGGAAGAGCTTGAAGAGCAGGGGTAGCAAATTGTCTCGGAGAAAGCCAAATCCTAAGAATCCCAAAAATTGTAGAGAAAATATTGAATTTTTAAGTTCCTTTGATGCATTTTAATTTTGAAACGTGAGCTGAGTGGATAAAAACCAATTTATTATTTTTTATTCCTCTGCCAATACTACTACGACAAAAAAATGTTTGGAGGCGATTTCCCTTCCACTTGAATCACATTTGGTTCTTTTAAAAAACTATGGCTCCAAAGCTCATTGCTCCCCCAAATTTTATCAAAATCGGTTACGAAATTAACGTTGTGGTCCTTTTTGATTACAAAACAAATAAATTAACATCTTTAATCATTTAATTAATGTTTCTTTCACATCTTACATTTAAAATGATGTCTACTAAGTAGGTCAAAATGCTCACTGCTTTCATCAAAACAAGAACATGACTATTTAAAAATCAAAATCCAGGAATTTCGTAGTCATCCGTCACAAGGTATGTTTCAGCAACTTCCTTAATTTTTCTCGTAGTAATAAAGATTCGATAAGATACGGGTCCTACCCACTGAAAGGATTTTCTTGGGCCCACGTGTGAGTATTATGGAAATTTAATATCCCGTCTCGGGAATATTTTTAAAAAATCCGGATTTTCAATGTTTTTGTGCAAAAACCACTGACAGAATGTTAGTCTGCGAGGATAGTCTTCTGGTAACAAGGCCTGCATTCGTTGTACATGATGTGGGGTTTTGTTTTCAGCACTCTGTGAAAATTTCATCCAAAAATATCAAAAAATAAAGCGTCAATTTCGAAGCGCGCAAACCTCTACAACTCGTTTTTTGGACAAATTTTGTCTACTGTTTCGGTGGCCCTATTTCATATAATATCGCGTAGACAAGTCGTTCTACAAATAGGCACTCACAATCGCGATCGCTGATATTTCTCGATTTTAAAGCCATTTTACTTCCCACGTAATTGGCGAGGAAGTATTGTAATCGCGAAGAATTTCTAAAATGAGATGTTATGTTTTTTAAGTCATTCGACATCTACATCACGAAAAACTGTATCACTGATTAACTTGGAAATAACCGCTCGGATTTTTATGGAATTTTCACACGGGGTTACTAGTATGCCAAAGCTTTGTAGTTTTAGTCCAGTGGCAACGGTGCTATAGGCACAAAAGTATTCATCTACTGTTTCGTCCTGCCAGTCGAAGCGACGCGACGGCGGTGCGTTCCGACTAAGAATAAATGTATTCAAATAATTTTATATCTTTCCTAAAATAAATTGAAGAACTTGAATTCTAATTCGTTTATTCATGTCAATAAACACAATTATGTTTACAAGGGTCGTGTGGCAGATGGTAACAATTGAACGAGGGTCATAAAAATACCGTATGCCGTCAAAATAAGAGGAAACAGTTAGGTAGTTTTTGCAAAGCAATGAACAGGTAGGCTTTACCTGGATTAAGTACATGTCTTGTCTACTGGAATAGGTAGATGGAGGTGATTTTTATTGCCTTACTATAAAACTCTGTTGTGTATATGATGGAGTTTACTAGAACTTTACAGCTTGTTGTCTGCCTTCTTCTACAAACTTCACCAAATCGAGACGCTGTCAACTTTATCCTCCGATGAAGACGCCACAAAGCACAGTCGTGCGATTTGGTGAATTGTTCGATATGCAAAATCTCGTCGTCACTTTTTTTTACCTAAAAATTCTTGCATAACGACCTCCAAATCAATGTCGTTCATGTCAGGTTTTTGACAGAATTCGCCTTAAAACTATTATATATTTTCTTTGGAATTGCTATCCGAATTGTTAGTTATGTTTATGTCAACTTTTTTGGACCAAGCTTAGAACGCAAACGTATTTGGACCACATGGACAGGCCGCTCGATATTGTGGCTCTCTACAGCTGCAGCACATCTTCCATGGTATGACCTCGCAATAATTTATTCGCTTACCCCAATGTATTTTGCGATTATACAGCTGAACTGCTCCACACTATTGTTGTCCTCATCATGATTTAAACTCACTGCATTCGTAATTAAAATGGTCGCATATGACCTTTTATTGTCCATTATCAACCTTGATAAAAAATTCGCTCAAGAACAATCACACCAACGACAATTCAACAACACAATATCGACGAACAGTAACAAGGGTAGATCAATACTGAATGATCACTAGCTGAGTACCAAAATAGGAAACGATTTACATTCTAGATCGCTAATCGAAATCCGACTCCGTACGCACCCGCAGTCATCCTTTCCTCTTTTAAAGTATCGCCGACTACCGTCTAAGGCCAGCCCACAATCGTTTCCTTTTCACCCCCCCCGTTACCTCAGCAGATGGTGCTCGTGATTGTAGGAACCCCATTAAAGTTGTAAACTATAAAGACTTTTAGACAAAAATCTATTGACTTTTGGACCATGGGTCATATGACTTGTTTTGACCCCTATTACCCGTCTCCATAATGACTACCATAGCGTTTACACCTTGTATATTTAATTCCTACCAAAATATCAAAACTGTACACAAAATGTTAGGTGTTGATTGTTCTTGTGTGTCCTAAATATGGCTCTTTGGAGACCTTGGGAAAATGCTCCAAGCCACGAGGAGATGGTTGATGAACCTGTGAAGGCAGAATTCTTTCATAAAGATTTAGAGGAACAGACCCAAAGAGTAATCCTAAATATGTATGATTGTCTGAAAAACGAAAATCCAGATTCCTCGCAAAATCAAATTTTAAACAGAATTTGTATCCTGACAAAAATCAGTCGGTCTACCATTTATCGGGTTAGAAAAAGGGGAGATGTAGTCAACCATTCCTTTCACAGAAAGCGCATAGGGCAAAAATTAAAAAGAATAGACGTGGGTTTTCAGGAAGATATTCGTCGTATAATATACGGATTTTATAAAGAAAATTTGGTGCCCACGTTGGAGATGATACGGGATAAATTAAAAGATTATCCTGAAGATTTTTATAATTACAAATGCTTAGACTCACTGCACTGTATTGTAAAACTGTGTGGTTTTCAATACAAAAAATTAGATAAAAGAATGGTGATTATGGAGTGATCTCGAATCGTTGAATTGCGCCAAGAATTTTTGCACAAAGTTAAAATCTATAGAGAGCAGAAAAGAAATCTGATTTACCTGGATGAAACGTGGTATGATACCCATGATGTTGTGCAGTACGGCTGGGTTGACGACAGCAACAAGTGCATTTTA